GAGAGAGAGAGAGAGAGAGAGAGAGAGAGAGAGAGAGAGAGAAAAAAAGAGAGAGAGAGACTTCTTCCTCCTCCTCCTCCTTTGTTTATTTGTATATGTGTGTGTGACTTGTCATGGCTGCTGTACACAGCACCAGGATGGCCTGTCTGTCCGTTTGTCCATCATTCTGTTAGCAGGTCTGTCTGTATTCCACGCAGTTGAAGTGTCTGTGTGAACTGTCTGTGTGACTTGTTACCGTATCTGTCTGCATGTTTGTCTGTCCGTCTGTCTGTTTGTCACTCAGTCATCCTGTCACGTCAGTATGTCTGTCATGTCTACCTGTTGGTCAATCTATCTTTTTGCCTGTCTGTCCATTTGTTCGTCAGTCTGTATGCCAGACTCGCAAACAGACTCGCGTGACAAGGTGATTGAGTGAAAGACAGACAGACAGGTAAACAAGCACACAAACACAGTCACAAGTCACATAGATAGTTCAACGTCTGTCTGTCTTCCACGGACGCCAAACTGTCTGTGTGACTTGTCACCGTGTCTGTGTGTCTGTTTGCTTGTCTGTCTGTCTGTCACTCTGTGTCACGTCAGTCTCTGTGCAAGTCTGTCAAGTCTGTTTGTCAGTCACTCTGCTGCTTTCTGGTTGGCTCGTGGCCACATCGTGATGTGTCGGCCTCTGCTGCTTTCTGGTTGGCCTGTGGCCACATCGTGATGTGTCGGCCTCACAAGGCATGTGGCCAGGGCACAACCACCCAGGCCCTGGGCTCAAATGCTCGGTGCAGTTGCTTCTTCTGGAAAAGCCTAGGGTAGGGCTCTGGTTGTACTTCAACCAACTGTCGTGCAACAACTGTCTCAGACCCCCATTATAAAACGTTGAGATAAGGGTCTCTGGTGAATATGTAGGCCCGCCTTCACTTAGGACGGGCACGAGGCTTGTTGGGGGCCACAGTCAGAAGACTCGGAAGTTCTGAGTCTTCTAACTGTGGCCCCTAGCAAGCCTCTGAGTCAGAACACATGCATGTTGTCCAGGGGCCCCTAAGGACACATTCCTCACATCTGTTCGAACTTCGAAGTTCCTAATAGACTCAGGTAGTATACAAAGTACAAAAAAAAAAAAAAAAAAAAAAAACGCGTACACGTATGCTGGTTTTCAGACACATACGTGTACGCACGCATACGTACATGTACGCACCGCATACACGTACATGGTGCTACCCAGCTACATACCCTGCACCTACATAGACTATTCCAAATACGTACGGACAAACAATTCACGCAACCCGATGTCAAGTCTAGTTCGGGACCAGCTCCGAGGTACTCATTCAAAAGATAACACACATCCGACGAAAGTACGAGTCCTCTTCAGTAATGACTAAAAACGACAAACTAATACAGGCCCGTATTGATGACAGGTGAAATTCAATTACGCAAGTTATAATAAACCAAGCGAATACCGCGACAAACCATACCTACTGAGACTTAATGAGAGCAAAAACCGCCAGTAATGCCAATTATGGGATAATCATGGTGCACATGTTTCTTTGATTTTTTTTTTTTACCTACATATGCAAATATGAAAGGAAAAAAAAAAAGATAATAATGAAAAGAAAAACCAAAGCCATTTTCTTTTCTTTTTCTTTTTTTTCCATTTTTGCTAGACACGCAAACTGATTGATTGATTGATTGATTGATTGATTGATTGATTGATTGATTGTGTGTGTGTGTGTGTGTGTGTGTGTGTGTGT